TGATTTTTTTTTTTTTTTAACAAGGCAGCGGAAAGTACTAATAATTCTACGACACAACTACGAAAAATATGGATATAACGAAAGATACCTCTACCAAAGCTCTGAAGCCAACTGATACGTTCCTCGATCAACACGTTTCGAGACACGTAGCACGTTTGCCCAAGGATCTAGCGAGGATGTCCAACGCTTGGAATTGCGGGATCTAGAACCAAACGGACGACACGATTTGATTCAAGACGGTAGACGACACTTCCGATGAAGGTGAATACTCCAGGGGAATAGGTCGGTAGAACAATCTAGGACAGGACGCAAGACTGCTCAAAACCCTTGCCAAAGCAAGTAAAGGGGTCGAATCTCTCTCTCAAGAAGAATCGAAAATATGCAAAACTTTATTGATAAAACGTCTACCTAAAACCTTACAAAGCAAGCCTATTTATAGGCTAAAGTGACTGAAAAACCCTAAGGAAACAATGGCAAGAGTTCGGCCATCTTGGTGTCCAAGATGGGCCGGCCCAATGAGCTATGAAGACAAATTAATCCAATCTAACAAGTACTAAGGCTAAGGCCTTATAGGGCCGATCCTCTTGAAGGCCCACTTGAGTCTTCGTGGGCTTGGATCATGGTGTAAATGGCTTGATTGTCTCTCTCTAAGCCCTCAATATCTTTGTGAACTCCATGTTGGTCTTGGACGACTCGAACCAGGGCTTGGAGTGATTCTTTGAAGAGCTTGGCCCGTGCACGTGTGACTGGGCCCAATGGAACTTGGACTGGGTCGTTGCGTGGGCCGAGACTCGTGCACACATCAGTCCCCTCCTCTTGAGAAGGATTTGCCCTCAAATCTGGATCCTTCTCGTCAAGAAATGGACTTAGGTCCCCGACGTTGAAGGTCGCACTAACATTGTATTCCCCAGGTAGCTCCAACTTGTATGCGTTGTCATTGACTTTTTGGAGTACCCGAAATGGTCCATCACCTCGTGGGGATAATTTGCTTTGACGTTGCTTGGGGAATCGTTCTTTCCTCAAGTGTAGCCACACCCAATCTCCAGGCTCAAAAGTCATCTTGCGGCGGTGCTTGTTGGCCTGTTGGATGTATTGCTGCGTGCGCCTCTCGATGTTTGCTCGCACAGCTTCATGTAACCTGCGCACAAAATCAGCTTTCCTTTTCCCATCTAAGCTTGTGTGCTCAGAGGAAGGTAATGGCACCAGATCAAGGGGGGTAAGGGGGTTGAAGCCATAAACAATCTCAAAGGGGGAATATTGTGTTGCACTATGCACAGTTCGGTTGTAGGCAAATTCAACATGAGGTAAGCACTCCTCCCAAGACTTAAGATTCTTTTTAATCAAGGCCCGAAGTAAAGTGCCAAGTGTGCGATTGACAACTTCAGTTTGTCCATCGCTTTGAGGATGACTAGTGGTGGAGAATAATAACCTAGTGCCAAGTTTGGACCACAAAGTCTTCCAAAAGTAACTCAGGAACTTCACATCCTGTCACTAACAATAGTCCTAGGCATGCCATGCAGACGGACAATCTCTTTGAAAAATAAAGTAGCAATATGAGATGCATCGTCAGTTTTATGACAAGGAATAAAATGTGCCATTTTAGAAAATCTATCAACCACCACAAATATGGAGTCATTACCCCTCGGTGATCTAGGCAAACCGAGCACAAAGTCCATAGACAAGTCAACCCAAGGATGGTGTGGGATAGGTAATGGGGTATACAAGCCATATGGATTTGTCTTAGACTTTGCCTTGTGACAAGTAGCGCATCTACCAACCATGCGTTCAACATCTCGACGCATATGAGGCCAGTAAAAGTGCTCTTGCAACATGGCCAGAGTCTTGGTGATGCCAAAGTGGCCCATGAGACCACCACTATGTGCCTCTCGAATCAAAAGATCACGAATGGAAGAATTAGGTACACACAGCTTATCTACATGGAATAGAAATCCATCATGCAAGAAGTATTTGCCATGCGGGTTCTTAACACAAGCAACATGGATATCACCAAAGTCATGATCATTTGTGTAGAGTTCCTTAACCATTTCGAACCCTAGTAACTTGGCATCCAGAAGGGCAAGCAACGAATGTCTACGTGATAATGCATCAGCCACTACATTCGTTTTGCCAGTCTTATACTTGATGACATATGAAAAGGTGTCAATGAAGCTTACCCATTTGGCATGCCGCTTGCTTAACTTGGGTTGTCCCTTGAGGTACTTCAATGACTCGTGATCAGTGTGTATCACGAACTCCCGAGGACGAAGATAGTGTTGCCAAGTCTCCAAGGCCCTCACTAATGCGTACAACTCCTTGTCGTATGTGGGGTAGTTTAATGCAGCTCCGCCCAGTTTCTCACTAAAGAAGGCACAAGGCCTCTTGTCTTGCATGAGGACCGCTCCAATACCTACACCAGAAGCATCACATTCAATTTCAAAAGTCTTGTGAAAGTTTGGTAATGCTAACACAGGTGCATGTGTGAGCGTGTCCTTGAGGGCGAGAAATGCTTGTTCTTGTGATTCTCCCCAGTGGAACTTGTCATTCTTCTTTGTTACGGCGGTCAACGGGGCGGCAATGGTGCTAAAATCTTTGACAAAGCGCCGGTAAAAGCCCGCCAATCCAAGGAAGCTGCGCACGTCAGGGACGGATGTGGGAGTTGGCCATTGTTCGATGGCCTCAATCTTGGATTTGTCCACCTTGATGCCCTGCGAACTTACCACATAGCCTAAAAACACAAGTTCGTTAGTACAAAAGGTGCACTTCTTGAGGTTGGCGTATAGACTTGCCTGTCGAAGTGTCTCAAGAACTAATCTCACATGCTCTAAGTGCTCATGCTCACTATGACTACAGATCAGGATGTCATCAAAGTAAACAATGACAAACTTGCCAATAAAATGCCTCAAAACATGGTTCATTAGTCGCATGAAGGTGCTAGGAGCATTAGTCAAGCCAAAAGGCATGACTAGCCACTCATAGAGACCATGTTTGGTTTTGAAGGCTGTTTTCCACTCATCACCTTCTTTCATCCTAATTTGATGATAGCCACTCCTTAAGTCAATTTTGGTGAAAATAATGGCCCCATCGAGTTCATCAAGCATATCATCAAGTCTAGGAATGGGATGACGATATTTCACAGTGATAGCATTCACAGCCCGACAGTCAGTGCACATGCGCCAAGTACCGTCCTTTTTGGGAACAAGTATCACAGGCACAACGCAAGGACTTAGACTTTCCTTTACCCAACCCTTACCCAAGAGGCCATCAACTTGCCTTTGAAGCTCCTTGGTCTCCTCAGGGCCCATGCGGTAAGCAGGTTTGTTGGGCAACGGTGCGCCAGGAATGAGGTCGATTTGGTGTTCAATTCCCCGAATGGGTGGTAAGCCATCAGGGACCTCGTCAGGGAAAACATCCTCAAATTCCTGTAAAAGAACAACAATGCTCGCAGGCAATGCCTTATCGAGCTCAGCAACATCCAAGAGCAAATGCTTGCAAATCATGAGAAGTATAGGCTGATTAGAGTTCACCACTTTTCTAACATCTTTAGCCTTAATAATCATGTTGTACTTCTTAGTGGTAGGTGCGGTAGGTGATTTGTCATGTATACCCCTGGGTGTACTTCCTTGACCCTTGGTAGCTAGCTCACCCGTAGAAGTGGAGCTTTGTCCAGGGTCGACCGCCTTTAGTGTCCTCCTTTGACGATCCCGTTCACACTCCCTTTGCAATAGTAGTTGGTCCTCATAAACTTGTGCAGGCGTGAGGGGCGTAAGGACCTTACGTTTGCCGTCATGCAAAAGTGTGTACTTATTTGCTCTTCCATCGAATGTGACGTGTTTGTCAAATTGCCAGGGCCTCCCCAGAATGATATGCGTAGCATGCATTGGCACGACGTCGCACAGGATTTCGTCAGTGTAAGTACCAATTGAAAAGGGAATGCGTACCTGTTTGAAGACTCGGACCTCGCCATTCTCACTTAGCCATTGGAGGCGGTAAGGATATGGATGCCTGGTAGTGGGGAGTCCTAGACTCTCAACCATGACCAAACTGGCCACGTTTGTGCAACTCCCACCGTCGATGATGAGACTACACACCTTGTCGCCAACCTTACAGTGGGTGTAGAATAGGTTTTCGCGTTGTAGCTGCTCGTCCTCCTTAACGCGGGCGGTTAGCACTCGCCGTGCCACCAAGCAACCTACTTCTCCTCGTGTAGGCGAGCAAGCTTCCCTAGCTGTCTCTTCTTCCAGGCAGTCGTCTTCGACCAGTTCGGGCATCTCCTCACACTCGTCATCATCAGATACGATGTCGCCATTGTGAGTGATGAGCATGACCCGTTGGTTTGGGCACTGAGATTGAATATGGCCAAACCCTTGGCACTTGAAGCACTTGATGTCCCTACTCCTAGGCTTAGGAGTCTCAAGCGGTGCCTTTGAAGTGGACCTGGATGCATCGGAAGCCTTGTTAGGGGTAGAATAGGAATTGCGGGAAGAGGTGTTACCTGGGATTCGGTTGGAAGAGGTTGGTATCGCCGTACTTCCAACTTCGTGGGTCGCCCTTCGTGGTTGGTTGCCCCTCCATGAAGTGGTGTTAGAAGATGGGAAAGGACGTGCTCCTCGTCTTAGTTTCTTCCCCCGCTCGGCCTTGATAGCGAGTTCTAGAAGGTCGTGCATGTCCAAGTAATGTTGGAGCTCCAAGGTTTCTTGAAGGTCAGGATTGAGACCTCTAAGAAACCTAGCCATCGTGGCTTCATTGTCCTCTTGAATGTTGGCCCTCATCATGGCCATCTCGATCTCTTTGTAGTAGTCTTCCACACTCATGTTGCCTTGAGTGAGAGTTTGAAGTTTAGAGTGGAGATCACGATTGTAGTAGCTAGGAACAAATCGCTTGCGCATTAGTGCCTTGAGTTCTCGCCAAGTCCGGACACGTGGTTCGCCCATCCTCCTCCTATGTGTCCTTACTTGGTCCCACCAGACTAGTGCGTAGTCGGTGAACTCCACGGTGCAAGAAATCACTGAGAGGGAGAAGTGGTGAAGGTAAAATTTTTCCCCTTTATTCATATATATATATTGAAATACTGCAATGGAATATGTAATATTTATATAATAGAATCGTGACTCTGTCAATGAGACGCATATTTAAGATTAGACAAATATGTAATTCTTCTTAAAATTCATTCTCTATTCTTTCTAAACTAATGAATGTTTTAAATTTGCGATAAGATACGTGTATATTTTCATTAGTTTTAAAAAATAAGAAGTAAAGATTATGTGTTTCTGCATTTTTCTATTTTTCACCCTTATTGCTAACTATAAGATTTTAAATTGATGTTTCACTAACCATTATGTGTTGCAAATCACAGTAAATATTGCGTAAATATATTTTTAGCGTGCTACATATTTATATGTATGTCCATCCAAAATTGTCAGAAGAGCTCATAAGGAATTTTAAACATTTAAAGATCAGACCACAATATTTAGGCCTGGTTTGGTTGAAAATTTGTTACGTTTTTTGTGAACACATTTTTCAATCATTTTTTTACCTTACATATATTAGATTGCTACGGTAATTTTTCTACAAACAATCCATACAAGGCCTTAAGAAGTTTTGGATTTCAAAGTGAAATGACTAAATTAATAGGAAACATGGAATTAATAGTAAGAAGCTTTAGAACTTCTTACCAAAAAGAACGGGGTATGTTTAATAATCACACTAACTATGACCACTTACAGGCAATAAAGGATAGATCTGTCGAAGTCAAAGTTTCAATGGGTCTTGCTCCCCGACTTCTGACCCATTCTTCTGGGTTTCATGTTCCACCACAGTCATAAGGCCCATAACCCAATTCCTTCTTCCCCAAGCCCAAACTTTCTTGGTTTCTTTTTCCCCTCAACTTCCCTTTCCACGGTTTCTTTATTTACCTCTCTCATGCCTTTTTTTCTTCATATATCTGTTATTGCATTTTCTTAATTAGTGTCCATGGATTTTCAATGTTCTTGACGTGTTATTTTCTGCTTATCGTTGCCTCTTCATGGATTTTAGAATACCAGAAAGCTTGTTGTATCCTGGGATCCTAGTTGAAGCAGGATGATTCGATGGTTGTGGCAATTTTTTGAGCCTCCGAGTCGACTCGGTCCGAGTTGACCGAGTCTGAATGAGCCACTAGCAGTTCATGCGTCTCTGATGAATTGCGGACCCATCTCAGACTGAAGAGCCCCGACTCGTCTGAGTTGGGGCCCATTCCAATGAGGACTTGGACGAGTCTTTGAACCATGTTTTGGATAGCCTTTTTCCTAACTATTGATAGGTCTCAAATCTTTGGACTGGGAGACTTATCAGTTAACAAACTATCAAGTTTTTTGTATAGTTGTTGAATGATAACATGATGCTTATGAATGATAGATGCGTCATAGTTGATATTAATTTAGTTTGTTTAATGCTACACAGGTTTTGAAAAGGTAGGGAAGAAAATGTTGAAATATTGTGGGAATCTTCCGTTGGCTGTGGTGGTTCTGGGTGGAATTCTTAGAACTAAAACAACCCTCAGCGAGTGGGATGAAGTGCATGAGAATATCAAATCCTATCTGGATAAGGGAGAAAAAATTGGAAAAGAAGGAGAGGTGCCAAAAGTTTTAGCTTACAGTTACTACAACCTCCCTTGGCAACTAAAACCATGCTTCCTTTACTTGGGTAAATTCAGGGAAGATTCCGACATTGGAGTAGAGAGTTTATATCAGATGTGGATAGGAGAAGGTATGATATTTGAGAATGATAGGAGGGAGCAAGAAACAATGATGGAGGTTGCCGAGCGTTACTTGGAAGATTTAGCACACAGATGCATGGTTGAGATTAAAGTACATGAGGAGGGGAAGCATGCAGTAACAAGGTTGGAGTCATGTCGACTTCATGATCTTATGAGAGATCTATGCTTAGTCAAGGCAAAAGAGGAGAATTTGTATAAGCTGGTCGATCGAACTACTTCACGAGATTCTCCTCTTGCATTTGAAGCACAATATGGTTTAGTCCTTCATTTGCTTCCAGAAGATATCTCTGAATACAACTTTCCACCAAAAGAACAAACTAAGCATCTTCGCTCATTCATGTGTCATTCATTGGCAGTGCCCTATTCTAATCCAGGGGTGAGAATAATGTCCCAAGTCAAGAATTTGAAGATGCTTAGAGTTTTGACAATTTTATCCTTCCATATGGCCTCCCAAAGGTGTTATCTCAAATCACCTCTGGGATATGTCGGTAAGCTTATCCATTTGAGATGTTTGAGATTGAGAGGTCTTAGTATAAACTTGCCATATTCTTTGGGCAATTTAAAGTACTTGGAAACTCTCGATTTATCTGGTAGTTATCATTGTAGAATACCAAATGTGCTATGGAAATTGGGACGTTTGAGATATCTTTATCTTTCGGACTGGTGGTGGAACTCTCAGCCTAAGCTGCGGTTGAGCAAGCAGCTGGAGATACTTGAATCATTTAGCAACGAATTTTGCAATCCTGAAGAAGTATGCAAATTGTCGAATCTCAGAGCTTTCAAAGCAACAGTGTATAAAAATTTTGAGGACTTGGAACACGTCATCAATCATATATCAAACTTGGATTGCATACGCATTAGCTCACTTACAATCAATAGTTGTGATTTTGGCCGGACCAACTCCAACAATTCCAATGACAGCAACGGTAGTTTGGATGTTCTTTCAAGGGTGTTGTTTAGTAGGAACATTCATAAATTATTGATCGTGAATAGTTTCTGCAAAAAGTTACCGGATTACCAATCCCGTATGTCTCCTGATCCTGCAGGCCTTACTGAATTAAGGCTGCAGTGTACTAAAATTGAGGAAGACTCAATAGGAACACTCGAGGAGCTTCCTAACTTAAGACTGCTGGAACTTGGGACATATTCTTTTCTGGGCCAAGCAATGATCTGCCATTCAGGGGGATTTCCCGAACTAAAACATCTCAGGCTTGATGATTTGGGTAACTTAAAGCAGTGGGTGGTGGAAGTAGGGGCCATGCCTAACCTCTCAAGTTTATGTATTGAGGGGTGTAGAGAATTGGAAATGATTCCAGATGGGCTGAGATGTTTAACTACCCTAAAAGAGGTAACTCTTGTGCAAATGCCTGAAGAATTCAACAATAGAATTAGGAGGATGAATGGTCAACAAGGAGAAGATTATGATAAAATAAGCCACGTGCCTTCAGTTAAAATCCACAGGTACTCTTTTTTTTCTTGTACTTTTCCTCCAATTTTTCTCTTTTAATTTTCAATTTACGGTTCTTGGAATTCCCTTTTTCTTAGCATCTAGTTCCAATATCAATTTTGATAGGCGTCACCAACATCATTCAATATTTTCTTTTGTCTTTTTAATGACTATTGTGTTTTTTTTAAAATTTTTTTCCTCTTCAGAAGAAACGGGATCATAGTTTTATCTTCTAAATATTTATTTTTGTTTATCTAAGACATCATCTAATGGAATTCTTGTTCCGTGACTGTTTAAGGAATTTGGTGATGAGGAAGTAAGGTTATATTTGAAAGCATTGCCTTCCATATTGTAAGGTGAAATCAAAATATTTTGCTTATTTCCTCGCGTTTGGAAATGGGTTGACATAATCTCTCATAAATTAAATTTAATGGATTAGTATGTGTTACCGTCATATAATGTACTCATCAACAAAAAATGTTGCATGGCGTAAAAAATGCCTAATAACTCTTTAAACTATTTGTGCTTCCCATGTAATTTTTTAAAATTACCATCCCTATTTAATCAAATATCTTGGATTAAACCTAAATTTTGTTTAGCATTCAGTGACGAAGAAGCATCATGTTGCTAGAGCTAGAAAGAGTCGAGTCGAGTCGAGTTTTGTTCTAATCGAGTCGAGTTTTGACTTAATTTTATCATGCTTGAACTCGAGCTTGAGATCGACGAGCTGTCAATTTAAAGCTTGAGATCGAAAAAATAAAAAAATAATTATTTATTTTTTAAAAAATAAATAAAAAATATTTTTTCGTAATAAATAAAAAATATTAGAAATATATATGTGTAATTTTACTATTAAAATAAAAAATAAAAAATATATATATATAGTAAGCTTGCGCTTAATATTTTGAACTCGAGTTCAATTTGACTAGCTCGAGCTCTATCGAGCTCAAGTCGAACTTTGACTTGCGAGCGACTCGATTAGTTTGCAGCCTTACATGTTGCCTTCCAAGTCTTATTGATATCAAAACCAACAATTAGAGCTTGTGTTAAGTCAATCACGACTATTTACTTTAATTCGTAGTACAAAATGACATGGCAAGTTTGTTTAGGGATGATGCACTTTGATTCCATTCTCAGTTACCCAAAATTGTTTCCCTACAAGTGGTGCCTGTGGAGGATTGGGAGGACAAAATGTCGGTGGAAAATTTTTTTTGAGATATTTTTTGTTTTTGTTTAGTAATTTTTTTTTGGCAGTAATGTTAGCAATTTTTTCTTAAAAATGAATGAATTTACCGTACATATTTATAGAGAAATTTTAAGTTTATTATTTTTTTACTAATTGGACAGAACCATTTATATATATATATATATATATTTAAAGGATTGTTAGATATAAGATGCCAGAGAATTACTATTGAATAGAATGAAATATATAAGTTAAATAGGGAAAGATGCAAGGCAATTTTTTTATTGGTTATAAATTTATAAGTTTAGTTGGCAGACTTTACATTTGTTTGATTTGCTTGTCTTGTTTATATTAGTTTATCATCTTGTTTCCTTTTTTATATTTCACTTACAAACTATGCAATCCATATATTTGCCGTGGAGTCAGATTTGTTTTGCTGTTTAGCTGCTTTTGCCTTAAATACTATCTGATATATATCAAATTTAAATGACAACACCTCGTGACAACATCTAATTTTGTCATAAATAAATTAAATTTAATGACAATAGTGCTTATTACCCCATAATGTTAATTTTTTGGTGAGAACTTGTGTTATTGTCATTAATAAAACACGTATTTTTGTTACAAGAAAAATCACTAAAATGTTCCCTGTTTCTTGAAAAAAAAATAGATCCACTTCCAAAAGGTTATGGCTATTTATTTATTGTCCTTCTGCTTGATCTTTTTCTTGTCTTTCTCAGAGTTTTCATTTTTGTATCAGCTTTTTGAAGGAAATTTGTAATAGTAGATTGAGCTCAATTTTGTGGTTATTTCTCTTCATTTTCGTGTCATTGTGCAGATTTGTTGGCGGAATAACAGGTTATCAAGTAGAAACTGTTTGTCCAAGCAATCCTGTTTGACCAAGCCCCGGGTCTTGCCTTAAGAAAATTCTACACTGAATCTCCTGGCTTTCCCTGATCTCATCCGATTCAAATGTGAGGTAATTAAACTTACTTAATCTCTTTTCTTTTTCCCGCAATTTTTAATTTATATGGAAATTTTAACTCATAGAAGGATATTAATTGTAAACTTGGAGTAATTGATTTGTAACATGGATGCTTACAGTGTTTTCACATTTTTTTTTTTCTAAATTTAATGTGATTTGAAGTGGAATTATAGAATTCTGGTTTCAAAATTCAATCTGTGATGTCTTTTGATTCACAAATATGTGATTTTAAGTCCACTCTTCTGAAATTAAAGTTCGTTCATTTATGTGATTTTTTTTTTTTGTGTAAAAGCTGGCACTATGTTAGTCTATACAATTACTAGCATTTATATGAAATTTTTCTCTGCTAATTGTCCCAAAGAAGGTAGGTACAAAGGCAGAGTATTGTATTCTTAATAAAGCTCATTATACATACAAATTAATCTTATGATGAATGACTGAGTTTGTTTCCTATATTGTTAAAGCTCGGTGTATTGCAATTTTATCTTAAGAAGAAAACAATACTTGCCTCTATTACCAATTTTCTGTATTGAAAACTCTTGCCTAAAGTCTTGCACCACCATCTTTCATTTGCATGTTGCAGTTTCTGTGTCATAAGTTTCTTTGCACATAGCAGCTGTTATGGGACTCCAAATGATCTTAAACCTTTGATAGGTCATCCTCGTGGCAGCAATGGGTCTAGCATATGACAAGGGCCAACAAGACTGTAAGCTGGTTAGATCTTCTTGTGTAGCTAGCATTTGTATGTATTGCGTGCTGCACCTTTACTTAGCTATTAGGGAAAGATACCAATTTGTTATATGATCCTTCACTTATAGTGTTTGGGAAGCTCCAAGAAAAATGTGTCAATTTAATTAGGAGATAATGTGTGATTATTTTTACTTTTTGGCTAGGTTCAAAGCAAGATTCACCAATGTGGTTGGAGGGGGCCATCTATGTTCTTGTATTCTTAAGAAGAGAGGGTTAAATTAATAAGGAAACTTTCCCAATTCCCTTAACCTTTTTATTAACCTTAATTGAAAATGAGATGATCATCTAAATAAGTACAATACCAAGCTAAGAAACATCGTTGGGTTGGCCAAACGGAAAACTAATTGTGTTCGAACATTGAATTTCCATGATTTAGACACCGCCACATTGTTCTCTAGTATTTTAAGAAACATTACCATAACCAATCTAAACTTTTCCTAATAAGATCCATCATTCTCCCAAAAAAGAGCAATGCAAGTTTCTTGATTCCATCCCCTTTTCTGCAATTCAAAGCTTTTACTCGTATTGAATTTGAAATCTATCAATACTTTTCAATAAAGGACAATTTTTTTGTGGCATAACCCCGTCCACGGCAATGACAATAAACAACTACATGCATGTAGACAAATCACATCAAATCAGTTTGGTTTTTTTTTTTTTTTTGTTCTTCTTTCCTGTATCAACAAATGACTTTCGTTCCTTGTTTTTCATTTTGCTTAAATTTTGTTTATTTCTTTAAACTTCCTATGCAGTTAGAATTTTTCTTTGAACTCAAATCTTTTCTCTTTTTTTTTTTATTTAAATCTTTCTAGCACCTTTTTTTAATTCTCTCTCTCTCTCTCTCTCTCTCTCTCTCTCTCTCTCTCTCTCTCTCTCTCTCTCTCTCTCTCCTACCAATAACACTTTCTACATCCGCCACCATCCTCCCCTTCGCCCTCCTCTCTTGGTTTAACTAATAATGTTTTGGCAAAATACCCTCCTCTCTTGGTTTAACTGATAATGTTTTGGAAAATACCCTAAGATGTGGTTAAATGGGTTGGGCAAGCTATTGGAGATACTCGACTCATTCAATAACCGGTCTTACAATCCTGGAGACTTATCCAAATTGATGAATCTCAGGTCTTTCAGAGGAACGGTGTATCACAATCTTGAGGATCTCAAACAAATCGCCAACTTTAAATATGACGTGGACTATATGTTCAAATTAAAATTTTCAATTATCCCCAACTGCAAGTATATAGGTCATTAAATCAGTATAGTGTAAATTATGGTCGATCCACAAGTAACAATAACAATTACTAAGGCTTATCACTTAGTCTATTGCCTAAATAATCTCAAATTAAAGTAAAGTGCAACTACAACAATGAACTAGTAAAAGCTATAACTAATGATATGACAAGTGAGAAACAATAAGAAGATAGTTCCAGGTTTTTTACTCACTTAAATGCTCATAAATAGGATGTGATTTGGTTGATTCAAATTATTACTCTTGTCTTGCCAAGAATATAATTTCCTAAGACATTTGAATATTGCTTTCACTAATGACAAGTATACATATACCTAGTCTTCACCTACTTTCGTGGTTGAACAATTAAGCATAAGTTTATGAAGATAATGAAATTACACAAGTTAAATCCACCTAAATGCATCTCTACTTTCATGAATCTACAATTTAGAGCTCAAGAATTTTGATCTAGTATTGTTAGCCAACTCTAACTAGACAAACAATAGGATAGATGGTTTGTAATGGTGATCAAACAACTACAAACATAAAAAACATGGAATACATAAACTAGCAAGTACATGATATAGTAACAATCAACCACAATCAATCCACGGTCAAAAATCAAATAAGTTCATCTCAATCCTAAGACAAAACAAACTTAGGTACTTATAATGGATTAGGATGAAAGCACATTTTTCTCTTGAAACAAATCATGATAAAAATTAGTAATAAAAGTACGAGTTAAGTTTGAAATAAATCTTTATTCCAATAGTAGAAATAAAGCTCCTCAAGCTCCTCTTGCAATCTTGTCTTCAAATGCAAAAATTACAAGAATACCTCACCGCTAAGCAAATACAAAAGTTGTAGTGAAAACTTTTAGAGTTAAGGTTGAAGAAATCTTTATTCCAATAGTAGAAATAAAGCTCCTCAAGCTTCTTTTGCAATTGTATCTTCACATGCAACAGTTACAAGAATACCTCACCACTAAGCAACTACAAAAGTTGTGGTGAAAACCTTAACTTCTCTAGATGTTTTTCTTGGAAAAAACTAGCCAATTTTGTGTCGTCAAAGTGTGCCTCCAAAAGCTATAGCACCACCCCCGTAAGTTACTATTTATAGGGTGGTAAAAAAGATAGAAAAAAATTGACATGAAATCCTAACTGCTCCAAACTACCATATAGATCCGCTGCAGGATCCATTGTCAAATCTGGTCCAAATAGGGTGGGATCCAGTGTTCTGTTTTTCAAGTTTGATTCTGTTTTCAATTTGGTGTTGGATCCATGCCTGCTTATCCAGGATCCAGCGTTGGATTTGCTTCTCCTATTTTGCTCTACTACAATCCACATTTGGCTGGATCACCCTGGGGGCACTTCTTCGTATCTTTGTGCCTTGGATCCTCTGCTTGGATCATCTTCTGTCAAGTGAGGATACAAGGCTAGATCCAAGGGTCTTCCAGTTTCAATGTTTCTTCTTTTCCACTTGTCACGGAAGCTTTTCTCGTCCTTACTTGTGACTTCTCGAGCACACTAAATCATCCTTGAACTATCCAATAAATATGAAATTCACTCCAAACCACTGCTCCATCATTAATCCTTGCAAAAACGCAGCTTTTGTGAGTAAAATGAAATAAGCACAAGTTTTTCATTCAATCCTTAATAGACACAAAATCTCGACAAAACTAGCATTAATAATACTCTTGTAGCAATCAAAAGCACATCAAACACACTAAAACAGGCACACACACATGATATAAAGACAAACACGTATCGATTTCAAACATAAACTGCATGTGCATCGCCTCGCTCGAAATTTGGAATTACAATTTTGGGACCGACTCCAACGGCTTGAATAACAACAAGGGTTTGGCTGTTCTTGAAGGGGTGTTGTTTGGTTGGAATATTACGGTGCTTTATGCAAGCATTTACTGGATTACCAGCCCCACATGTCCACTAGCCCTGTAGGCCTTGCTTAATTAGAGCTGTTCCACACCATTATTGAGGAGGACCAACAGAAACACTGGAAAAGCTTCCCAACTTGCGAGAACTATAATTATGTACAAAATCTTTTTTAGTCCAAGAAATGTTTTGGCACTCAATGGGATTTCTTCAGCTTAAACATCATGTTTGCCTAAGTTAAAGAAGTGGAAGGTGGATGAAGGGGACATACCTAAGCTTTCAAGTTTACATCTTCACAATTGTAAAATTTTGGAAATGATTTCAGATGGATTGAGATTGACAACTACCCTAGAACAACTATAACTTGTGAATATGCCCCAAGTCACAATTAGAGTTCCAATAACGAATGATGAACAATATCCAGATTATGATAAAATTAGTCATGTACCTTCACCTGAAATTAGCAGGTACTCTATTTCTACTTTTACTATTCCCTGCTTAAAGATTTTGTTTACCATTTCTATTGTTTCTACACAGGAAGGCTCAAGGACCACCAGTACTTCACCGCTAAAACTCCAAAAAAACTTCTTACAAATGTCATGGAATCACGCTTATCAGTTGCAACTTTTTTCCAACAGCCTGTCAAAAGGAAAAAGTTGCAAAGAAAAGTTGCGGGGAAGGAAAATTATTTGTGCCAGGGATCATTTTTTCAGTTAATTATTTTAGCTTACAAATATGAAAAATTTATTTAGCTGAAAAATAAGCCTTAAGTACAAAATTAATTTAATGATGCTATGAAACTATTAAGGTAACCGTAAGTAAAAGAAATATCCTTTACTTATTTACTTAAATATAAGACCATCGATTGACAAAACCATTTACCAATGGATTAAATTAGACAAAATAGGGGCAATGTTATGGTAGTTTGATTATCAATTTGAAATGATAAAAAAAATCAATGACCAAAGCCTAATGACAAGTATATGAAAGTCAAGTGGCCTTAATTCACGTTGCCAAAAAGAGAACGCATTGGACATTAATGACTAAACAATAAATAATAACCCAAAATTTTGTACAAGGATCAAATTATTTTTGTGAGTGCCCCAAGAATCCATACAGAAATTAAATCTGACGGCTATGGAGCAAGTCATCGACTGAGTGTTTTTCAGTTGAATGAGCTCGTTTGGATTGTTATTTTTTAGAGTTCATATAGAAAAATGCACTTTAGTGATTTGATGATGTATGTGAGATAAAAAAGTGATTGAAAAATATAAAAAATTTTTGAAGAAAAATTACAATCAAATGAACCTTTAAATTTTACTCGAACATGAACTATCCTTTCTAGAAAACTTGGACTTGGCAAGGGACTCGAGCTGGGGAGTATGTATCTAACAACAGCTGGATTCGGGTTCAGATGATGGAGTAAAATCCAAGACCTGATTTAGGAGGACTAATAAGGAAAACTATTAGGGTCTTTATGTATCATAAGTAACTTTACCGAACACAACGACTGTGCAAGTAAAGTATAAATAGGATGAGAAAATGACCTTATTTTTTATTTTCTAATTCTTTTCTTTCTCTTTATTTGATATATTTCACGACAATAATATTTCACGACAATACTGTTCTGGTAATTTTTATCTACTATCATTAAACTTTAAAGTTAAATATTTTACAATTTTTAAGATATACAAAGAGCTAGAATTGATTGTAGATTTAGTTTTAAATTGACCTTTTTTTTGCATTGGACTAACAATAATGCGAGATGATGTTTATACGCAAAGCCAAAGAATATTTTTCTTTTGTTTGTTCCCTTCTTGTAGAGGGGAAAAAGAAAAGCAAAAGTTGTCTCTCTATAACTGTGTTGTGAGGACGGAACGAGCTAGCCAGCTCCTAGAAAATTCAAAAGACCTTGTCCATGGAAAAATTCAATAGCATACAAAGTTTTCAAACATCCAGAGCCAGATAAATTGCTCCCCTTGCTATGTAAAAGTAAAACCATCTTCCTTTGCCAGTGAATTCCATCCTTTACAGAAAATATATATCAATCTCATCCGAAATGGCAGAAGCAATCCTATCCTCAATCCTATCCTCTGCAGTAGAAAATATAGGTAAATTGCTTATTG